ACAGACTTCTATACCAGACACAGAAACCTGCTATTTGTCTTCATTAAAGCGATCAAATTCTGTCTTAAAATTACCATGGCTGTTTTAACCCCACTGGTAAATACATCGCTGCACCACCCTGTACATCTGTATGCACTTCCCATAGAGAAAGTTGTGTTAACTTGGGCAACAGTTTTGTCTGCATCATCCTATAATGATACGTTAGCTAAATTACCCTAACCCTGATGTTGAATAAAGCAGAGTTAACTTGGTGTTGTTTTGCTGCATTTGTATTGCTGAATCATGCAGCTGGAACAGCTTATATCACTATCATTTGATATTGATCTAATTGTTATCTGGCTACGTGCTTGAATGAGAAAATGCAGAAGTGAACAAATTATTGTCCCTGTACTTTACTTTCATATAGAAAAGTGGCTGTGATATATACATGCAGTGAGAACATGTATAGGAACCATCAGTTTCCTTTTTGTATTTAAAAAGAATCTAGAATTCATATGTATGTTGTTTTGAAGGAGATTCAAATTTTCCATGATTACAGTAACTCAGTAGCTCTATCCAGCAACACATGAATTGAGACTGGAAGGTAGTGGGACATATCTTCTGGCATTCTTCTGACTTATGGTTATAGCATTCATTGGTACATGTGAATTGAAGCAGAAGAAAAATGGGACAGTGGGCCTGCTACTTTGGATACGATTCTGAAAGGGGTCAGCTGGAAATATCATGAGCTTTTTGGGGAATCAAACCATTTGATTATGTTAATCTATTTCAAATGAATAATGTCCACTCTTCAGACACTGATAATTAACTTGGATTTTATCAAAACTGACCCAGAAAGGACAATGAAGAATAAATTAGGCAAGGCTAGCATCTATTGCTGACATTCCTGACACAGAGAAGAAAACAGTTGTGTGTTGTAGTCAAACAACTATTTGAATGTGGGTGTGGTCTATCCATCAGTCTACCCTATCACTTTCATTAGGGTCCATCACTAAAACAACAAAAGACTTGCAAAATGTAGGTCATATTCTTTCCTGAAGTGTGATGTGTATTTGTCATGGGAAGACTCCATCCCTGAAAGTGAAGATCAGAGTTTGACACTGACAACTGAGGTTTATCTTTGGATTGCATACAGTCTGCAGCAAAACTAATTAAAAAACAGAAATATTTTTTTCAAGAAGTTTTGATAAATGTGGTTTTTTTAATAAAAAAATTCCAACATTTTTAACAGTTTTAATCTGCTGGCCTTTTATAGAGACAGGTAGTTCTCCTCAAAAGGAAGGGAAATAAGTGGTACAAGCAAACTGAGTGGATCGCATATTTTTCACCTGCTAGGATCATTCATTCTGGACTTGAAGACCTTTGGGACAAATTCTAATCCCTGATGGAATTTAAAATCTTTAGAAATTCCAATGAAATTAATGAAGTTAAATGTTAGCTCTTTCTACTCATACTTTACACAAGTAAACAGACATTGTCTTTTGATTCTGGAAATGCAGCCACATGCCCGCAGTGGCCCCAGTCAGAAACCAGGGGGGCACTAGAGCATGGTTCCCTGCTTGGCTAGAGCAGACAGTTTGGGGCAAGGCTAGCCACCCTCCAAGAGGGATGGAGGGAGGGGTGCTTGTGGGGGAGGTGCAAAGTACCCTGAGAGGCTGGAGGACTGTGAGTTAACTTGAATCTGTTGGGGATCTGGGACAGAAATTCTAAATCAGTTCAGTCTGATACTACATCCATCCTGGTTTATTGTAAACCAGTTCTGGTAATTTTGAAAGTGGTTTTACGTGCGTTGGACTTCTGTTTTGTTACAGATTTGAACTGGTTTCCAGTCACTTATACCAGTTTATATGTAACTTCTGTCCCTAGCCTACATTGTATATGTCAGTCAAATGATGTCTGCAATCCCATTACAATAAAATCTACTAGAAAGCAATTCAACACACAATTGCTTACAAGGCTTCTGGCATGCACTGATATCAGATATCTCATAGTAGTACCACTGATGACTGAAAACCATATATAATCATGATTTATAACATTAAAATTTATGAACCACATCAATCCAAAAGAGTAATCTTTGCTCGCAAATATGGGTGCAATTTTCACACTGACTTCATCAGGAGGAATATGCATGCATTTCTGAGCAGACTATAGACGCAAAGATTTTTAATCTTTTAAACATCTGCATGTAAGTAACCAGGATAATTATTTTCCCTACCTTATAATCCTCATCATCATCCTTAAATCCACAAGCAGTTATGAAATCTGGAAATGTTTCTGACCACCCATCACTTGTGCAGTTTTTGCTAACATTTCCTGTAAAACAGAATTAAAAAGAACGAATGAATACAGATTTAGAATCTTCCTAACCAGTAGGCCTAAAACAGCTTAGACAAAGTCCCAAATCAGCTAGCTACAGCATGGCACTTCTGACTAACACAGCTAACTAACTACTACTCTCTGCAAAAGGGAGCTAGCTTTCGAGTTCACGTGATAACATCACCAAGACAAAATGTGTTGGTGCAACAAAGCTGTAAAATACTGCCAAGAGATCAGATTTAGCTATTTTCTTGGGCTATTCGAAATGCTATTGTAATTTAAGATACCATTATATTCTCCTACTAAAAAACAGAATTCTCTGTGTATTTCTAGAGAGCAGACACAAACTACTCTTAGGTAAAGAGATAGCATTAGTAGAATATATTTCATATTTAATATTCTTGATAGTCATTGAAGGAAAGAAGTTTTTTTTTCCATCCTGCAGGTACACATATCAGGGTTTTTTGGGGGGGGAGGATTGTTTTTTTTGCCTTCCTCAGAAACACTGGGTGTTGACTGCAGCCAAGGCTGGGGATTGTGACTAGGATGTGTCAATGCTCCTGCTGGGACTAAAACCTAGAGAGTCAGACTGATCACCAGATTTGGGGTCAGGAAGGAATTTTACCCCATGGTCAGATTATTATGCACTGTGGGGAATTTTGTTTTCCTCTGTAGTGGGGAGTATGGTCCTCTTCCTTGGATCTCTCAAGCATTTTTTTTAACACCCTGTGCAGCAGCAGAACACTGACCATTGTTGTTCCCTTGCTTTAACTGGTGGCCAGTTAGGGTGCTATGCATTGTGATTGTGTGACCGGGCTGACTATATATTTTTAGTAATAGGGTAGACCAGGGGTTGGTAACCTACAGCCCTCAGCCCGGATCCATTGGTGTCGTG